TGAGAGAGAGAGAGAGAGAGAGAGAGAGAGAGAGAGAGAGAGAGAGAGAGAGAGAGCTCAGAGAAGATAAAGATACATCTCAGAGGAGATAAAGACACAGCTCAAACGACAGAGAAAGAGGCAAAGCTCAGATGAGAGCATCACACATACCTGAGAGTGAGGATTTCTTTCGGGACCCATGCCTCATCTCCCACGTAGCAGTCTTTGGACTCCCAGCCCACCAAGGAAGGATTAAGCTTTGGCCTCCCAACCACTGATGGAAAAACAGCGCGGGGCGCGTCGTCTCCAGAAAACCCTGCCTTGCACATGTCACTTCCGTCGTCAATGACGACAGAAGATACATCTCCGTCTTGAGCACAGGTTGCCATAGTTTATTCTGGAGGAAATAGATAAAGGAAAACCATTTTTGTTTGCAAGCTTGTCTGTTTGTTTGTTCACTTATTTCGAGTGAAGATCAGAAGCTAAACGACACAATGCTGGTCACTTAATGTAGGGAGGTAAGGCAGACAGATAGGAGCAATAGAGGAGAAAAACCAACGGCACCATCCAACCACCCGCCTGAAGGAAAAGACAAAGAGAAGGATCGTTAGGTCGGCACCACATCAGACACAAAAGAGTTTTTCTTCTCATTGCAGGAGATACCTATATATCTGAGAAGTATGTTCATTGCATAAATTAGTACACACTGTAAGTTGACTTTGATCTCTTCTAGAGGAGACCCAAAGGTTGTCGTGAGCCACATTTGGGCATTATAATATTGCCAAGTTCTTTTTTTTCGTTAGTGTGTTTGCTCCAGTGTTCTTCCCTCAAACTGGAGGTGTAGTATTTGACCCTATTCTTAACGTCTGTCTGTGGAAAGGTGGTCTCCTTTAATCCCAACAGAAGTCACAAGGATCCCTCAGCCAGAGTTCGACGTGCCCGTTTCCTCGGATCCCCACATGGCCAGGTAACGTCTATCTCCAATAGGACTGAGCCAAACTGGTGGAGAGCCTTAAAGCTCCTCAAAATAACCCAATTTCGGATCAGCCCGTTGAGGATTCGAATCAAGACCATTTACTGGAAGCTTGGCGTTGAGGAAATCGCAAGTTTGCGACGTTGTGATGACCCAACATCTGAAAGCTGCCCTGAGTTCAGATCGCTTTGTTGTTGGGAGCTAGAATACTATAGTGTGGGAAAAATAACTAACTGTTGGCGTTTTACGCCCCCATCGATACAGCACTACCTCAGAATAACAAAGTTTTATCTGTTCTGTCAAAATAGCAAGATTATTCAGAGCCGTTGTCAAGTTATTCAAATAATTGCCTTATAAAAAGCCTGACAGATTGTGAAACTCAAAATTTTTTTTTAAGGTCAAATTTCTGAAAACCACGTACGAAACAAACAGAACGTTGTAATTTTAGAGTAGTGACTAAGCAGATAATTATGGGAGGTGAATCACTTTCACTCTTCCCGTCAGGGCCAACCCGGGTTGACAGGGATACAACATCCCAGCAAAGAGGCCAGGATGCTCCCTATATATTCCTCCCCACTCGGGATTCGAACTCATGCTTTCTGCATGTGACGGCGAAGCACTTGACCACAACACTACAGACGCCAGTTTGTCGCACGCGGGCTGAGCTGATCACGAACTGAAAGGCAGTTTAATATAGAAATCCCTCCCAGGCTCTGCAAGCTGCTGTCACAAATTTTGCCAATTTAGGAGTTAGGTTATATTTGTGGGATTTGATCATAAACTATTTGTGACACCTGTGCAGAACAATCCCTGTCTCCTAATGGACTGACGACCCAGGAACGATTGGTTTTTTAAAAAACAGTTAAGAATAGGACACCTCCCCCGAAAAATACAACAACAAGCAACAAAAAAACAAAACAAAAACAAAACAAAAACAAAAACAAACAACAAATAACAAAAGTAAACAAAATAAAACAACAACAAAAAGAAAAACAACAACAACAAAACAAAACAGAACACAAAAAAATCCCCCCAAAAGCATTGAAACTATACTATTATTGTAATTCTTATCGTAACTGTGCGTGTTTCACGTTACTGTTGACACAATCTAGGTCATTTAATGAAGCAGGCCACTTCCTGTCGATCTGCCTGCTGTCAGGGCCAATCCAGGCTTCACGGGATGAACCATCCAGCAATCAGCTGAGATATTCGATTTAACAAAAAACAACAACAACCCCCCCCCCCCAAAAAAAAACCCCAACAACAACAAAACAGCAACAAACAAACA